TGTAGGTGGGGAAAGGTGAAGGGACCCACCCATGTTCCCAGCCAGCTATTATTATTACTGAGACCTCCTACTTTCAACCCAAACGGCATCATGATTACGAAAACGCTTATTCTCTTGCTCTCTTCAAGGTCCTCATGTTCCAAGTTTCCAACCGAAATATGATGTCGTTCTGCTATCACCTTGACTCTAGAAGTTTGGTTAAGGTTACCTTTTCATTTCAAAGATGGGAAATAAAAAAGCTGGCAAATAAAAAAACTAGAATTCCTTTGTTTGCCCAAGACAGTTCATTCAAGATCTCTCAAACCTGGCTATGTGCCAGAATGATTACCTGGCTGGGTTTCAAAATCATAATTTCTCTACCAAATCCATCTCGGGGCTTGGCAAGACTTGAGACTCTGTCTGTTCCTGGATTGTTCAGGGTTTGTTTGTTTCTGTTTGTTTGTTCTCCCAGAGATTCTGCTACACATCAGGTTTAGAGCCTGTAGATCTAATCAGTGCCCACTCCGTAATCCCACTCACAACATGGACAGGGTGGAGCATGTACTTGAAGATATCTGGGGAGGATGATACTATGGGTGTTCTCCAGGAATCACAGCTATCAAAATACGACTCAAAAGTGGAACCTATGATAATAATAACGTTGCCTCCAAGCCCCACTTGCTCAATCATTGAAGGTAAGTTCACTCTGCTCCCGAGTGCCCTGGCCCTGGCAAGTGCCCCCAGATACTGCCCTTCCTGGCATGTGAACAGCTGGGGAAGCTGAGCTGCCGGCGCTGAAGCCTCGGGCGGCGGCACCAGCAGGCATGAAATCACGAGGCAAGTGTAATTTAAAACCTACATATTTAACTAGACAAACTCTTGTCAACATATAGTTCCAGCACGTTCTCTCTCTTTTGGCTCTAATTCCCTATGACCGCCTTCTTTCCAAGTAATTCCATGAGTTCTGGGAATGTCCAGAACGGCACATGCCCAGGACTGGGACCAATTTATCCTGAGTAATCTGTCAAGCTGCAGTTCATGCTTTTCCACTGGTTTAGGTTACCAAGCAACCTCCTTGTCACCCGGGATAATGACCTGACTCTCACTCCAGGGGACACAATACAACATGGGATCTTGGGCGCAGGAACAGCACCAGCACAGGACTCATGCCAACCTGCAGGTGAAGCCCAGCTGTGCAGTTGCTCTGGCCACTTGTTTAGCCTTTGTATGTAAAATGGGGATGGGGGAGCAGCTCCCCAGCCGGTTATGATTTGAGATAATGCATCTAAAGCACCAGGTTGTTTTGTTTAGCGTCAGCCTGAGAGCAGAAATGATTTGGCAGCAGGGAGTGAGGTGCAGGAGGGTCGCTGACTCCTGGGGCACTCCGGTCACCATCAAAGTGGACAGAGAGGGAGACCTCCGGGCCCCCTGCTCTCTCAAGTCCCTCTGGAAAAGTGCAGAAATGCCTCTGCTTTTGTAGCCACAGTGGGATTGGGAAACTTTATGTACCATTTCTGCGAAGCCTTGAGCATCCAGGAAGCTTAAAGCTGGCCATGGTAACTGGCCCCAACAAGGGCCCGCGTCAGCCCCAGACTCGGCATCAACAGCTCTCTGAGGCCATGGCCTTCACAGTTTCCTCAGCACTTAGTTTATAAGCTCTGTCCATGACTTGGGGCCAATGCAGCTGGTCCTTTCTCGGCTCCATTGTGGCCACTTCATATGGGGTTTCACCCCTTCCTCCACCCACCCCCCCTCTAAAAAAGGCACCGGTGGGGAGGGTGCAGAGGGAGCATCCAGCCAATCCCATAAATTTGCTCTCAAATATTTTTGCCAGGAAAAGCCAAAAGTTAAAAAGAGGTCCTGGCTACTCAAGCACTCAAAGCTTTTGTATTTGAGGAGGGGCTGGCTGATTTGGAGGATTTAAGAACAAACTGGAAACCAGAGCAGGGACTCCTAATGCAGAATTTACTGACAGCTTTTTGTGACCAGGGGCCTACCGACCTCAATTAATGTCTTCAGGATCCTCTTGGAGAAGAAGGGGGCAGGGGGAGGGTTCTCTTTGTAAGCTTGGTGATAATGAAAGCTGTCCAGGTAGCTCAAAGAACTAGTCCTGGCTACCAAAAGGCAAGGGGCCCCTCCAATAAGAGGTGGAGACAATTTCTTACAGCCCTAGGAACCAGGAGAGGGCAAGCAGGACACAAGGAAATAAAATACAGTCCTCCCTGGAAGCCAAGCAGACAGGAGAGCACCCCCAACACCCAGAATGAAGCCTCTGGTGAGACCCCCTGAGGACTTCATGCTCTTTTGCAAAAAGCCCTCTCCCAAAGGGGTGCCTGGTCTCACCTTTCTGAGAATCTGTGCTGTCAGAGCTACAAGGAGCCCGGTTCCAGGACGTGGACATTTATAAGCATATTTACTCTGAATCCGTAGAGTAGTCGGCAGCAGGGGGAGCGGGGAGGGCAGTGCTGACTGCACGTGTGCAGCTCACACGTGCTCAGTGACAGCACAGGCCCCTCATTGAATCCCAGCCTGCCAGAGCACACGCGCTGTTCCATCCAGCCCCGTAAGCCCCGTAGCGGCCAGGGGTTTGGTTGGGCTTTCATTCGGCACTGGGTGGCTGGTGTCAGCATAAAGCAGAAAGAGCCCGGGCTCAGAGTCCAGAAGCCTGCCCAGGATTTGGCTCCAGCTCCACGGACCGATTTGCTGCCCAACCTTAAGGAAGTCCTAAACCTCTCTCTGCAGTCTCTGCATCTGTCAACTCTTGATTCATTTTGTAAAGATATTACGAGAAGCTTCTGATCTCCCAGTGACCTAGTCCAAAGTGTGATCTGGACCCCTCACATCAGAGCCATTAAAAGTGCAGATCCCTGGGCCCAGCCAAGACCAACTGAAAGAGAATTTCTGGAGAAAGAACTAAGAAATCTGCCTTTTAACAAAGTCTCGGGTGATTCTCATGTGCCCTCAACACTGAAAGTCACTGACTTAGAAGAGGAGTTCAAACTCCTTCCTATGGAGCGAGGGCCTTTACAGTCTGCCTTTTGAGGACCATTCCCAGCATCCTCTCTGCTTCGACACTGGCTGACATTCAGATCCACACACAGAGGCCAGGCACTGGGCTAATTAAATGCATCCACTGAACCCCCAGAGCAGTTCTACGAACAAGTACTATTATCCTCCCCATTTTACAAATGAGGAGACTGAGGTTTACAGAGGCTCAGTCATGTGACCAAGATCACACAGGAAGCATGATGATGAGGTCAGAATCCCATTTCCATCTATGGGACTGTAGAGTTCTCTCTCTTAACTACCCCCAATATACCACATTGTGTATTCCCTCAAACACGCCTGCGTGCCCCTGCTCAGGGTGGCCCCTTGGCCTCATATGCCTCACAAGACTCTTATCCTCTGCAAATATATAGAACTCAAATTTTTTACCTGCCCCCCCCAAAAAAACTTCTGTGCATTAGCTACCCCTCCTTTGTGCTTGAACACTCTCTTTTCATATCTCTACTCTAACACTGTCCAAATTGTTTTGTGATTATTTGTGTTCCAGCCTCCTCTGAGACACAGAGGATTTTTAAGGCAGTTAGACTATTCTGAATGGTACTGCAATGGTGGATACATGTCATTATATATTTGCCCAAACCCATAGAATATACACCACCAAGAGTGAATCCTAATGCAAACTACGGCCTTCGGGGGATTATGGAGTGTCCATCTAGGTTCATCAATTATAACAAATGTGCTACTCTGATGGGGGATAGTGGGGGTGGGGAAGCTGTGCATGGGTGCGGTCCAGGGATATACGGGAATTCTGCCGTGAACCTAAAACTGCTCTAAACAACAAAGTCTATTTGTATTTTTAAGAATTATAGGACTCTGGGGCGCCTGGGTGGCTCAATCATTAAACGTCTGCATTCGGCTCACGTCATGAGCCCAAGGTCCTGGGATCGAGCCCCGCATCATCATCATCCGGGGGTTCCCTGATCAGCGGGAAGCCTGCTAATCCCTCTCCCACTTCCCCCGGCTTGTGTTCCCTCGCTTGCGGTCTCTCTCTCTGTGTCAAATAAATAATAAAAATAATAAAATCTTTAAAAAAAAAAAAAAAAGAATTCTAGGACTCTGTTATCCATCCCTCTAACCACACACCACAGCATACAGAAGAGGCTAAATAAAAGCATGTTGACTGAAATGGACAGCCCTTTCCCAAAGGCCTCAGGAAAACAGATCTGAGGAACTGCCTCAGCCATGACGAGAGACAAGGAAGAGATTATGTGAACGGGTCAAGTGATGGAAACTTCAGAGGAAGCCTCGAAAGGACGGATGAGAGACTGGGCAAGGTGTCGTGGGTTCCGACGACAGGCTGGAGAGCAGAGGCTGCGAGGGGGCAGAGTGGAGGAGCCAGAGTGAAGAAGACGAGAAGGGGCCATGGGTGGAGGCAAACCAAAACGTCCAGAGGTGCTTTGCCTGCAAGCGCTTCTGAGCCCCAACCATTCCAGAAGGCAAGCAGGGCCTTTAGAAAGGAAAAAGAAGACCCACACAGTCAGTGCCCAAGGGCGAGAAGGCAGATTCTAGGAGCATCGGGGGACCATTCATCATCCAAAATGCAATGCAAGGGAAAACATCAGCAAGTGGAATTACGCTGCAAGAACCCCAACTAGAATGTCATGGGGAACGAGTCCAAGAGACGTTTTAACAACAATCCTGATGCCAGGGATCAAAGAGTATGACGTAAGCTTTAGAAGTGGAGCAATTAATGATGTGTTTTGTGTGTTAAATCTGGAAGGAAAAAAAAAAAACGCGTACTACCAGCTGTGTGGTAATGCCACGGAGTAGACCAAGGAGGAAAATAAACAGAGATTTAGAAACAAAATGGTTGCCCAAGAGACCTTGAGCTCTTATATGTTAGTTGAGAGAGAGGTTAGGAAGATCACTCCATCATTCTACCAAAGTCTGCCCACAATGTAGATCAGATTTGGCATTTGACACCCTTGGGTTGAAAACCCAGCTCTTCCACTTACCAGGTCTGTGAACATGGGTAACTTGCTCGATCTCTGAGGCTCTGTTTCTTTATCTGTGAAAACGAGAGAGTAGATAAGGCTTGTTGCTAGGATTAAAGGAGACAAAGTATATTTAGCGCTTTAGAATAGTGGCTGGCAGAAAGGTTCTATAAATGATGGCAGTGGTGGTGGTGTCATGGCTGCTCCTATGTGATTTTATGACGATACCCTTTGCATGTACCCTTGCCCTATTCCTCCAAGTAGATTTTTACCCCCAAAAGGAATCCTGCAAGTTTTTCAGATTTGCCCAACTGAAACAAGGCCAGAATCTGCCTTTTCTTCAGAGCCGTCTGTGTGCAAGACAGTGTGCAGAGCCTGATTAAGATGCTCAAGACAGGGTTCCTAGCCTGCGGTCACTTCCATTCTAGCGCCAGAAAGGAATTGGCAGACCTCGCTGTGGCCCAAGGCAGAGCTGAAGAAGTGCCACAGGAGCACCACAACCAATGGGCCGGGATGAGAGGAGGGCAGAGTCACTCACGGCTGGCATCATGGAAGAAGGGGCAATTTGCCAGGCAGAGTCCTGATGACGTGACCGAGTGGATCCCAGAGACGCGGAGCCATGAACATCCCTCATAAATCACATTTTAAGGACAACTGCAGATGGCCATGGTTTGTACAAAGAACTCTGGTCTGCTACAACTGGTCCAAAAGAAAGAGCCTGCTGCCCAGCCGGGGGAGAAGAGCTAGACGGAGCCAATCGGATGTGGTGCAGGGGGATAGGAGCCGGGGTCTGTGGCAAGACTGAGCCAGAAACAGGGAGTCAGACAGACTCTGCAACGCAGGCAGGATGCAGAGTTGGGGCCAAGGCTGACTTCTGTTATGAAAGAGCCAAAACTGGAAATTAAGCTAGGAGAGTAGTACAAATGTGATGAGAGGAAAATCACGCATTTCTTAAGAGTGAGAGAGAACTGAGAAAGAAGGACAGACAGGAAGACAAATGGAAGGAGAGACTGACCAACAGATAGAGAGGGACTAACAGGCAGACTGGCCAACAGACACAGAGATGGACAGAGACAGAACAAGCCAGACTGGCTGACTTTCCCTTCTTGGGTCGCGTGAGTGGGGGACACACACCTGCAGAGTGAGGCAGCGGATCCCTGAGAAGGTGGGGCAGGGGCTGGGCATGCTGCAGAGGGGAGACAGGATGGGAAGAGAGGGGGGCCAAGGCAGTCAGAGCTCTCCTTGAAACTTCTCAACATTTTCTTGAACATAATTAGAGAAGCAACTCATACTCCGGCCCATGAGTCCTCAGCAAAGAACTGTCCCATTCATTGCATTCTGTAACAAGACAAAAAGCTTTACTGGTAAGAAAGCTGGGATCAGGATATAAATCTCCCAAATGGGATGACGGTGTTTTTAGGGCAGTCATTCAGCCGAGGCAGGACTGTGGCTGATGTCACCACCCCAGTGCGAACAGCGAGTGAGCCCTGGCCTCTTCTCCTGCCTTGGCCGAAAACGAGCTCTCTGATCTTGAGCAATTGACTTAACCTATCTGGACATCTGTTTGTAAATCCACAAAATAAGGAGATTGAACTGGATGTCTTTCAAGCTTGCCTGCAGTACTGCTAACATCCTAGATCCTGTGGTTCCACAAACACCCCATTATTTATACATCAGACTTTTTCGCAACACCTAAATAGTATTGCCAACTATGTCAATAATATTTTATTTATTATATTACTATGAAGTGAATAGGTTATTTATTTCCTCCCAGTACAACTTGTACTTGAATACAATTTCAACATGCATGCTAAATCTCTCCTCCTATGAACTCCCAAGCATTTAAATCGAGACACCTCTTAGTGTACTTACCCCATTCTGCTTTAGGCTATGATTATTCAGGAAAATGCCTTATTGTCCATTCCTAGATGTTAAGCTCCCCAGATGCTCCCTGGAAACCCAGCGGCAAAGAGAAAAGAACGGAGCTACCGGGGTGGCTTCCGTCTTTGCAAGCGCAAGAACCCAGGACAATATATTGCACAAAACTGATGTTCAGTGCGTGTTTGTGGAACACACATATAGTTGGAGAGAATGCAAAACTTAAGAGGAATTCATCAAATGAGCCTAATTAAGTCCCCATCCTTTGCTCCTCCCCTAACACACCCAGAGGGCTAACCTAACACCTTTGCCTGGAGCTAATAAACATTGACCCCACTTAATTGCAAATGGCCCCTAGCCTCAGTGCTGCTGATGAGTTTGGGAAGAGCACAGAATACAGACAAGAGAAATCATTGCTGAGCGAGTCACTGGGGAAAGAGGCAGCTGGAATCCCCAGTCATCGAACTTGTTTGCAAGATGCCCACAGTGACACAAAAGGTAACATTATATGGAGCTGAAGGAACCAGACAGTGTCGGATTTGCTGGCAAAGCATTTTCTCAATCTTGAAAGTGAGAATGAGGGGGAAAAGGGGAAGGGGAGCAGAAGCTATCAAGGGTCTTCTCTAGGCAAAGGCCCCTCAAGCCATATTTTCTACTCATCCTGCAAGAAAGTTTAGATGCCGACCCAGTGGTTCTATTTCAGCAAGATCTCCTCGGTCTTCTTAATGTCCAGCAGCTCTCCTGAGCCCTGTGTCCTCTGCCTCTTTCCCAATTCCCAAGGAAAGTGCAGCCCTCCCCCAACTCCCCAACGCAAGCTCTGGGTCCCTGTTAATAATCCACTTCTAAGTGGCGCCCTAACCACCACACTTCCGCACCCCGCCTACCTCCAGTCCTCACTGCCCTACCCAGCCTGGCCACAGGACACTGGCCTCCTCTGTCACCCAGGTGGCCCCTGCACCGGCGCGCGGGTCACCGGCCCTCACCTCTGGCCATCGGCTCACACTTCCTGTTTCTCCCAATCCACCTCAGCCGCCCTCCACTGTGCTCTCACATTCCAGACACTTTTTCCCCCCTCCCTCATTCCCTTCTTCTCCCATTACTAATGTCTATTCTAGAAACTTGCTCAGTTAGGACTGGACTCGCCAGTAATTGAGGGCATCTTGCACCACCCGAGTCTTGATTTTGTGAGCTAAAATTTCTGTTGGTGTTAACTTGCTAGCTCTTTTATTTTACTTCCCTCCCATGTTGATTCTCATTCCTGAGTTCACACTTTGGAGGAAGGAGGGAAGGTCACTCGATTGAGATTGGACAGAACCATAGGGATGGCCGCAGAGGGCCCTGAACCTGCCACTGCTGGCCAGAACGCACCCCATCTCCAGGCCGCGGTGGGCTCAGGGCCCAGGGCGGCAGCTAGCTTCTTCGCCAGCAACTGCCCTCCACAGCCTTCAAGGCCGCCGCTTTCGGACTGAAAACCCCCGTGGCTAACTCTCTTGGAGGAGCAGGAAATGAGAGGCTGTTAACGAGCTGGACCTCTGTGAGTTGTGCCAAGAATTCTCCGCCCCACGGTCACAGAATGCTGAAACGGGCTGAAAGGGCCAGTCTTCCAAAAGAGGTAACCGGAGGCCCCATCACCAGGCTGTTAATGCCTCCGGCTCCGCGAGCTGACAGGAACAGGACGTTCTAAAATGGCTCCACCCTTGAACCACAACTCATCAATCACAGCACGGAACATCGAGCTTCAGGTTCCGACTGGCTCCCGCGAACTCCCTCTCTCACCTCTCTGCCAGGCTCCTGCTTTGTCACCAGGCTCCCTACTTCGCTCTCCGGAAACAGGAGCCACGTTGGGGTTTCACGTCCTGCGTCCTGCGCCTCCATGCGTCGCACACGTTGGCACGCACGCACGGCGCAGAGCGCGCCGGGGCTCACGAACACCAGCGTGAGCGTCCGGGGTTGGCCCCTGCTTGTGCACCAGTCCTGATACCTGCCATATGGTCGGGTTGCCGCGCAGGTTGTCTGTAAAACATCTGGCCAGTTGTTTACCTCTCCAGCTGTGTGGCAGTTGGCACGTCCCTGTCCTCGGCTCCCTTCAGCCTCCCAGGAAAAGAAGCACAGCCTCTTGCCTGGACTTTCTTCCTTGGCCGGGCGGAAATCAGTTTGCCACCGCCTTGCTTTGGCTGCTCTGACCCGGCCCGCCCCGCTGCCCCCTCAGCTCCTCTATCGGTCGTCCCTGGGTGTGCGGCCACAGCCCTCTCTGTTCTGACCCCTTCCATTTACACAGCCGGCCGCCTCTTCCCTTACCTCCTCGGGGCTCCTCCTGGATCTCCGTGCACAAATGTCCTGCCATCTCGTTACCTTTGGCCCACAGGTGTAGTCATCGCCCCACTTTACGCCACTTGCAATCACCTGGCTTCTTGCTCACCTGGTGGCTTTCTCGCCCTCTGGCTTTCCTGCCAAGCCTTTCTTCCCAAGAGCTGCCTTACGGCCAGGAACACTTAACACACCGCCCAGAGTTCCTCTGACAGGTACAGGGCCAGACTTCTAATCAGATCGTTTATATTGCAGTCCGATGACCCCCAAATTCCGAATTATCTTCCTGGCTGACAAGGAGAGCTCCCCACGCGATCCTCACGGATCCACGTTTTTCTCTTGCAGACATCCACTCCTTTCCTGCCTCCCCGATCCTAATTCCTCCAACTTACTTCCTTCAGTAAGGTCATATTTACCTTCTAAGTCAGAACCCAGAATTTTCAGGTAATTTCCAGGACTAAAGCAATCTGTTCATTGCCATATATTGTCTCCTCTTCGATTCCAGCGGCTGCTGGCGGTGCCCACCTAAGTCCCATCCTTGCCCTCCCTGCTCGCGGGCACACAGTGATGAGGGTGACAGCTAACACTGAGCAACGCCTGTGTGTCAGGTACTGCTCCAGGCACTTTGCATAGAAGATTCCCCAGGTCTGCCCCCTGCATCTTATTTCAGTTTCCTTAAACTCCTACTTACCTGAGGAAAGCCACCAAAGTGGGCAGAGGAGAGAAAGAAGAAGCATTAAAATAACGAGTGGGAACAATGTAAACATCTCTAGATGTCCTGATTAGGCATGCTTTATGTTCTTTCTCCCTTTATGTCGAATTCCCACTCATTCCTGCCTATACCTCATTCCTCGGTCCTGACCATATGACCTTGTTTTTAACTTAAAGAAGCACTCTTTCATTTTTTCAAACTGCACGTTTTTATAGAGATCTCTGCATTTCCAATGGTAAATCAAGAGAAAACAGATTTGGAATAAGAGTGATACATATTTTTAAGTCCTGCCTCTGCCCATTTCTAGCTTTGTGATTCTGGGTGTTTCTTTTTTCTTTTTCTTTTTTTTTCTGGGTATGTTTCTTAATGCTGCTGAACCTCAGTTGACTCATTTATAAAATGCAATTAGTAGAGACCTTGCAGATTTTTTTAAATTGCAATAAGCAATGTGTGCAAAGTACTTATCACAGTGCCCAGCACCTTGTAGATGCTATGCAAATAGCCCCTCATTTTCTAAAAATACTTATACTGTCTCAGTGCAGTGGGTGGATATGAAAGGCAGATTTCTCTGCTGTCATATCTTCTTTTCTTAGTGCAAGGTCTCTCCCAGAAACCAAGGGAAATCTCCCACATGACATACAAAAAAAGAAATCACCTTGTCACAGCATAGCAGAGGGCAGCTTTAATAAGAAACTAACAGATGTTATATATTCTGCCCCAGGCAAATTGTAGGCCTAAAGGCTTACCCTCTGCCCCACTTCCCCAGCATCCCTCAGTGGCTGACTGTGGGATCTTTAATAGGATTTGTCTTCTGGGTTGCTCACCAGGTTCAATGTCTTCTTGACCCCAGAAAAATGCAAGAATGCTCCCTGGGCACTTGAGAAAATGAGTTCTAGAGCAGTGATCTCCAAATGTGATCGATGGACCAAAGGCATCAACACCATCTGGGAGCTTGTTAGAAATGCACATTCTCAGGCCCTATGCTAGACTCACTAAATCAGAAATTCTGGGGGTGGGGCCCCAGCAAACTATGTTTTAACACTACTTCAGGGTGATTTTGATGAAGATTCAGGCTTGAGAACTAGTGGGTGAGATAGTAACATGGGGATTTCTTCCTAACAGAATCAGTGGGGGAAGTTCCAACAATATGGCAGATTAATGACTGCGACCTCTCAAGACACACCTTCAGCTGCCCCTGCATGCAAGGCTGCTCATCAAGGAAGCTGTCCCTGTGCCTCATCACAGAGAAGCATCAACCCCCTGCCAGCCTCACTAGCACCACTCCCTGCTGCTCGTCTAGACAAGACCAGCTTGACTGCAGACAGGTACCTGAGAGCCTAGCCCAGGTGCACCTGCTGTTGCTCAAATACAAGGTTTGCTATCTCTTCTCCCAGCCACCACCTTCCTCACCCTGAGACTGGCCAAGCACCTCCCAGCTCCTGCTTACTGTCATTCAGCACCGAGTGGAACAGATACATTAAAGATGCTGTCAGTGACCACAGCGGCCACCCACTCTCCCGAGTGAAACTGTGCCTTCTACAGCCCCAGGAGCCAGATCGACCAGACAGCTGTGCTACAATTCTCTCAAATCAGCACGAAGCAGGGGAGAACCAGAGTTCAGAACTGTAGCTATAATTAGTAACCCAAAGGATGCATTCCCATCTCCCTCATCCCTCCACAGAAAATGTTCCTCATCAACACTGGGGATGACCTTTCACCCCAAATCCAGTGGACTCACCTGTCAGTAGCCCCACATTGCTTTCTGTCTCAAACCTAAACTCCATACATGCCCTGTCCCCCCGCCCCCATTGCCCCCAACGTCACTGCCCACTGTTTCACCCTATATGCCAGTCGGGAGAAAACTCACCGTCCATGTTTCAAATTAGCCAGTAGGCATCTCAGAAGGCCACAGGTTTGACTGGGAAGGAAGTTATAAGGCTGGCCTAAGAGAACATGAGGGAATTGTTGGAATGATTCTGTTACCAGAGTTTTTTTTAATCAGGAAATTTGAAAACTAAAAACGGTGGAATTGACAATATAGCTGAGAGGGAATGTGGCCACCTTTTATTTCCTAACTTCTTCACTTCCCACTAAGAACCTCTGCCTTAGCCCTCTTTCTCCTCAGCTTTTGCTTCAGTTCTGTGAGCCACCAGTATCTTTCCAATTAATTAATTAAGGGGCCCCAAGTAGGTTTCTCTTGCCTGGAAAGAATGGACACCCCATCATCAGAACCCTGCTCAGCTCCCAGCTCCTCCAGAAAGCCCATCTTAGATCCCCTCACCGAGCTCCTTCATCCCTCCTTTGGATACCACTTACAGTCCTTCACCAACGTAGCTCTATATTCTTGTACCTTACATGCATGACGATGTGGCATCCAGGGGACCTGCATTTGAACACTGCCCCCACCACTATTTAACTCTGCCACTGGGGAACATTATTTAACGTTCTCCCTGAACTTCAGTTTTCTGGGGATAATATATTATTAGGAAGAATAAACAAGCAGCAAATGTAAGAAGCCCAGTATACTCTCTCTGCCAGCTACTGGGTACATAACCAGTGCTCCCATCTTCCCTGTTCCCTTGATTACCTCTTTCCAGTTTGATTGTTCTTCTTGGCTTATACCTCTGTATCTAATTGCCTAGTACTTATACTTTGTCTGTAATGTCGTCTGCTGATCATCTCTTGATCCCAGCCATTCTCTGTGGAAGCTTCGGAATCTGGTTTAAGCTGCAGGAGCACTTTTAAGTTCTATAATTACAGTATTATTGACTATAATTTTATTTGCTATGAGTTGTATTTGGAGCAAATGTTTCTAACCATATTTTTAAAAGCTTTGTTTTGGTTGCTATTCTATTAATATGCAGCTCCAGAAAAGCTAAGAACTGGAAGGAGAAAACTATAAGACATCGGAAGTGGGATAAAATTCTATCCAAGTGTTTAATCACCCTTGGAGTCATGTTATTCTTACTGATGATCTAAATTTGTCTTGCTACAATTTATTCTTGTTTTCTATCACACTCTACATTTTGCATAATATACTTGGAGATAGACTTTGAACCACTTTTAAGCTTTTACCTACAGCTTTTTTACACTTTTCTCATATTGGCTCACATTTATCAAAGGATAGCTGTATACCAAGCACTATGCTAAGCACTTTGCACAGGTCTTTCCATTTAATTCTTATAATCATTCTGAGTATCCCCTATGTGTCCTATATAAGCATTATTATTATGTCCATTTTATGAATGAGCAGATCTTAAGGAAGTCGTGCCACTTGCCCAGGGTCACCAAGCAAGTAACAGATGATGCCTCCGTGTGAACCTGGGCGGTCTGACACCAGGGCCCATACTGCCTCAGAGATTCTAGTTCCTCAATTTTTAAGGATTTAATGATTTGATTGGCCTTTCTCCCATTTCTCTTCATCCATCTTAACAACTGTTCACCAATACTGATGAGAACTATCTGGATGCTAAAAATGGGAAAAAGATCTTAGGGTCCAAGTGGACCATGTTCACAGCACAGAAGAGCTACTGGAGAGGCATTAAAAAAAGTTTGACTTAACTAAATACTCACCGGAATTATTGGACAAAGACTGTGGCATCAAAAACCTCAAGCTAAAGCCTGACACCAAAGAACCACTGCTAGTAATTTAATACTAACTCTGACTTGATGAGCACCTGCAGTGTGCCCGGTCTTTTCTAGCACCAGGTGTCCTGCAGGAAGGCTCTTGCAGACGAGGAAATGGGAATTCGAAGAGATGAAGTGACTTGCCCACAGCCACACAGGGCAGATCTGGTATCTGTTTTATTTGGGCCTCTGGTTTAGCTTGCAGCCT